TTATTGCAGACTGTGCATAAAACTATTTTTTTTTGTTTAAGTGTAAAGATCGGCGTATTAGAGAATTGTGTCAGGTTTTTTATGAGCTGATTAATTGGTAAGTGTACACGGTATTCGGAATGTGTAAAAATGGCTGGGGGTTGGAAAAGGATTGGTGGAAAGGACGGGTGGGGTGAGGCCGCCCAAGTAGCTGTATCAAAAGATAAAAAAAGGAGAGGAAGGAATTGGGGAATGGAGGGAAAATAATTGGGAAAAGGAGACGAAGGACCTTGGAAAAGAAAAGAGAGAGAGACCATAAAAGGAGAGGAAGAACCAGTGAAAAGGAGAGTAAGGTCCCCCAAAAACTTTAAAAAAGGAGTTGCGAAAAGGAGGAAAAGAATCCTAGAAAAAAGAGAGGAAGTGTTTAGTAAAAGGGGGAAAAGACTTTCGGAAAGAAGAGAAAGGACCCAGAGAAAGGAAAGGATGAAATCAGAAAAGGGAATAAATTAAGAAAAGGAGTGGAAGGACCCAAGCAAAGAAAAAGGAGTAATTAATGAAAAGAATATTAGAAAAGGGAGTGACAAAAAGGAATGTAAGGATATGGAAAAGAAAAGATAGGACTTTGCAAAAGGGTGAAAAAACAGCCGGAAAAAGACAAGGAAAGATATTAGAAAAGGAGAAAAAGAATGCTAGAAAAATGAGCCATATTTATTACAACGTTTCGGTCGTTGTACGCTCCGGCCTTCTTCAGGTGGTTGGAATGTCGAACTGAACTCTTTATTTCGCTCACTGTGGTAGGCTGGAGTAGTCCGAATAATGTAAATAGTGTACATAATACCTCATCTCAGCAATATCGACAGATAGAAAAATGAGAGAAAGAACTTGGAAAAGAATAGAAGAGAAACTAGAAAAGTTGAGGAAGAAACAGGGAAAGAGAAATGAAGGTTCTGGAAAAGGAAAAGACGAACTCAAGAAAACAGAAAGATATTATGAAAACGAAAGAAAAAAATCCTGGAAAACTGAGAGGAATAATTTTGGAAAAAGAAAAGAAGCGCTTAGGAAACGGGCAGGAGCGGATAATAAAATAAAAAAAAGATAACGTAAAACCGGAAAAAAAGAAAAGAGAGCCTAAAAATATGAAGATTAAACCAGGAAAAAGATCTGGTAGTATTTGGGGAAAAGGTGTAGGGAAATAAACTTTGAAAAATAGAGGAAGGAGTTGCGGAAAGGGAGAAAGAACCAGGGAAAGAAAGAAGAAAAAAAACTGACGAAAATAAAAGAAAGAAAGAAAGAAAGAAAGAAAGAAAGAAAGAAGTAAATAAAAAGAGAAAGAAATAGAGAAAGAAAGAAAGAAAGAAAGAAAGAAAGAAAGAAAGAAAGAAAGAAAGAAAGAAATAAAGAAAGAAAAGTAAATAAAAAGAGAAAGGAATAGAGAAAGCGAAAAGGAGAGAAATAAAGAAAGAAGGAAAGAAACAAACAAACAAACAAAGAGAAATAAAGAAAGAAAGAAAGAAAGAAAGAGAGAAAGAGAGAGAGAGAGAGGGAAATGACTGAAAAGAAGTCACAATAAATTTATAAGAACAAAAACACGGATAGAACCAAAATAATAGGAATAATAGCGATAATAGGAAAATAAAAGTTTAAATTGTGCAAATAAGTTTGACACAAGGCTACAATTCTGGGGCCCAAAACGAATTTCGGTACAAAACGAGCAATTATTTAAAAGAATAATTTGCTAACAATTGTTCTACGACTGTTTATTAAGTTTAGTTTAGTCTTGCACAAGGCATAGTAGAGGTGCACTGAGCGATGTTATTATTCAACAAATGTTCTGTCATGTGAGCTTATTAAACAGAGATATTTACGAAGCACAGCTACGTGTAGCGCAAACCTGCAGTTTTGAGGATCTGTTGTTAGTGAATTGTTTTGCGGAATGAACTTGGCCCCCCCCCTGTTTCGCAGCCCCGCCCAACCCCCGATAGGGAACCAAAATATATCCAAGTTATTTATTTAATTTGTTTCTTTCTGGCTATTAGAATACTACTGAATAAAAAGAAAATAGAAAGATTAACGTCCAGCCTTTTCAATAGTCTTTTATTTACGGCGCACAAAATTCTTTTGGTGTCTCGTCGTCCAGATTAGCCTATTCATTAAGTAGACATCAAAGCATCTACCGACTCACATTCGGAACATAGCCAGCCATTTTAGATATATCTATAACCAGTTGAGCGACTTTGATGTAACCAATCAGAAAGAATATGATGGAAACACATATTCTCCTGTGAGGTTACTCAGTCATCCGTAAGAAACGTTTAATTGAATTTACCTACTATACGACTGTCTTATTGAGCAGATTCGTTATGACTTTGGTATAACATCTCATCAAGCAACCTCTATATCCAACCTATTACTATTAAAAAATGATTTAATGTTGCATAAGGCATGCCTTTCATGGCTTCTGATCTTGATTGTAAGTGTTAACACGTACATGGTTTGTCTTGGTGAAATAAGTTGGGCTTTAGTAAGTATCCCTTACTTTCATTATTTTCATTATTCGGACTGTTATCCTCATCTTCGTTGTTATATTCATAGGGTTTCGGTTGTTGTACGCTCCGGCCTTCTTCAGGTGATTGGAATTTTGAACTGAGCTCTTTATTTCGTCCACCGAGGTAGGTTCTTCTAGTTCCACGTGTCATGCCCCTTCCGGACGTCTCAGTTATTTCTCTTTAACTCAACACTCTAAGTTTTCGTTCACCTTTGCTGTAGCCTGGTATTGAACTCACAACACTTTGGTTCTAATCCCTGGATCTAACCAACGCTTTTAACCACATCCAGCGGTCGTGTGTGTATGAATTTCTGAGACATAATGTCTCTGCAACCATATCTTACAAATACTCATATTACAATTTTTCTGTTATTATTATTGCATTTTTTTTTATCAGAGCTAAATCATGATACCTCATCTCAGAGATATAGACAGAGTAAGTATCCCGTTCATACATACTTGTCAGTTGCCTGACATGAACCAGTTCGGCGTGTTTTCTAAGTGCTGGCGCCCTGTGCATGTCTAATCATGAGTGGGAGTGATGGGGAAGTATCTGTGGCCGATTTCGAGAGTGTTGTTTTTTTTTTATTTGTTCAATTTTGAAAGGTAATGCAGCTAAGGCAACTTAGGCGCCACACCTAAACATTCCAGAATACCTTCAATCGGAAGTCACCATATTGCATACACTTGGCTCTGATGCATGTTCCTGGGATACACTTAACAGATTGTGTGTCATTAATGCTATATTGGGCTTCGTATATTTTCATATCATCGTCATTTTGTAAATAATAAGCAGAAGACTAATGTAGTTTAAATATTTACAGAGTAGAATTAGTTATGCCAATGTATAAATAATTTAGCAAATACTATATATTAAATACTCTTAATATAATAATTCTTAATGATAATAGACATTCTTAATAAAGTAAACTTGCTAAAAGACTAAAAAAATAAAACAATCGATGCATCCTTCGTCTTATCTTAAAATATATATTTTAATAATTAAAGCTTATAAATACATAATAAACTATAAACTATACAAAAACTATAATCTAATAAATGAATTTTTTGTCTGTTAATGTTGTAGAGTAGTTTTTCACAGTGGAGGCTTGTACTTCACTAAGTCGGTCCTAAATTAGGTTCGACGTACAAAACGTTAGGAACTTGAAATAATAGTTAATGACGCAGCAATCTAGTTGTGGGGCTCATTCGCTCAGTGAGTTGTGTGAGTCACACAACTCACTGAGCGATATTCTGAGCGAGATTCATGCCCCACGAGGGCATCATGTGGCACAAGGCCGGTTTAACGTGGGATCTCCGAGCCTGTGGGCTCGGCCAAAAATATGTCCTTTTAAAACCCGTATAAACGGGTTCAGGGTCGGTTTACCTCCCCGAAAGAGACTCCACCCTTCGGCGTATCCTCGTTCGGGTTCCTCCCCGCCCGAAGGCAGAGGGTTCAACCGGTCAGCCGGTCGTCCGACTTCAGACTGAACTCAGACCAACTCACTGAGCGGTATTTAGTCACCCCCCCACGAGGGTATCATGTGGCACAAGGCCGGTTTAACGTGGGATCTCCGAGCCCGCGGGCTCGGCCAAAAATATGCCCTTTTAAAACACGTATAAACGGGTTCAGGGTCGGTTTACCTCCCCGAAAGAGAATCCGCCCTTCGGCGTAGCCTCGTTCGGGTTCCTCCCCGCCCGAAGGCAGAGAGTTCAACTGGTCAGCTGGTCGTCCGACTTCAGACTGAACTCAGACCAACTAACTGAGCTTTACTGGCGACTGCTACTACTACTACTTATTATCTGTGGGAGAGTCTATAATAGAAATAGGCACGTTCCAGTATAACAGTTAAGTAATTGGGATGGCCAAAGATGCATTTCAAAAGCTAAGCAGAGTATTAAGAGACAGAAAAAACTTCCCTAGAAACGAAGAAAAGTATACTGGACTGTTACGTGATATGTGTCCAGTGAATGCTGGACAATCTCCTCAAATATGAAGAGACTTGAAGCAACAGAAATGTGGTTCTACAAAAGTATACTGAAGATAGCATGGACTGAACATGTGAGCCACAACGAAGTTTTAGGGAGAATGAAAACAAAAAGGAAACTTTAACTTAACATCAGAAAGAGGCAGCTGAAATTTTGGGGGCATATAATAAGGAAGGAAGGCTTAGAAAATCTGATACTCTCAAGATAGATTGAAGGAATAAAGGACAAAGGAAAACCGCGCGTAACATTCTTGATAAAATTGTGTAAATGGATGGTAGAACATGGTTTAGGAGAAATAACAAAAAGACAAAAATTATTAAGAGCTACAAGGGACAGAATGATGTGGAGGGACACGATCGCCTACGTCCTGAAGGGACACGGTACATAAAAAAGAAGAAATAATATTTTGAAGTCTGCCTCGGACGAAGTGATGATATACGGTAAAATTATAGTCGACGATAGTAAGCGTTGGGGATAAAATTAACCTATGGAAGATCGTATAATTCGAAGGCGATTTTTTATTCACTTTTTTTTAAAGGTCGTTTTATGTAACCTCTTCAGTTTGAGGAAGGAAATTTTTTTTTTCTTTTTCTACCTTCTCTTTCCCTTTTCCATTTCTTCTCTCTTTTTTCACCTTCTCTCCTGTTCCTTCCCTGTTTTGAAGTTTTCAGTTTTATTCACTTCGCCTTTCTTTTTATTTTTTTTCTTTCTCTTTTTTCTTTTTCTTTATCGTCGCCTCCCTCTGTTTGTCTTTTCTCTCTCTTTTTATGCCATCTCCTCATCCTCTTTTCTTTCGTTTTACTTTTATTTTCACTTTTTCTTCTTCTTCTTCTTCTTCTTCTTCTTCTTCATTTGAGTTCTTTGGTTTCTTTCAGTTCTTTATCTTTCTTCCTTTTTATTATCTGTTTCTTTTTTTCTCCCTATATATATATATATATATATATATATATATATATATATATATATATATATATATCCTTCTTATCCTTCCTCCCCCGTCTCTTCCTGTCAACTTACGCTACCTCTCCTATTTTATTTATTTGCCTTTTCTTACAGCTTTCTTTTTTCTACATCTTAAATATTCACTTTTTTCTACCTAAATAGTCCTTCTTCTTCTTCTTCTTCTTCTTCTTCTTCTTCTTCTTTTTCATTCTTCCTTCTTATAAATTCCCTTCTTTCTTCATCAATAGTTTGTCTTTCCTTTTTACTCTTATTCTTCTTCATTCTTCTACTTTTTTCTACTTCTTTCACTTTCTTCCTTTACCCTCCATCTTCCTTCTTCTTCCTTTACCCTCCGTCTTCCTTCTTTTTCTTTCTTTCTTTCTCTTCTTCCTTTTTCTTCTTCCTCCTTCTTCTTTTTCCTTCTTCTTCGTTCTTCTTTCTTCTTCTTTCTTCTTCTTCTTCTTTCTTCCTCTTCGTCCTCCTTCTTCTTTTTACTTCTTCTTTCTTCTGCTTCCTTTTTCATTCTTCCTTCTTTCTCTTCTTCTTCTTCCTCCTCCTCCTACCTTTTTCTTCTTCCTCACCCTTCTTTCTTCTTCCTCCTTCTTTTTCCTTTTTCTTCTTTCTTCTTCCTTTTTCATTCTTTTTTCTTTCTCTTTTTCTTCTTCCTCCTCCTCCTTTCTTTTTCTTCTTCCTCCCTCTTCTTTCTTCTTCCTCCTCCTTCTTTCTTCTTCTTCCTTCACCTTTATCTCCTCTTTCTTTTTTTCCTTTCTTCTTTTTACTCCTTCCTTCTTCCAAATTCTCGCTTCCTCTCTTTACTTACTTTTCTTTCTTTTGACTTTGCCTCCTTTTTCTTTCATGCTTCTCTCCCCCTTTTCCCTTTCTTCTTTTCCCTTTCCTCCTCCTACCACCCTTATATATCTGACAACCTTCTTTCTTATTTCCTTTTCGAGCTCTCACTTCTTCTACTTCTTTTTCATCCACTTTCCTTTTTCCTTTCTCTAGTTACCAGTTTCACTTTGCATTGACATTCCGCCCTCCTCGACACGCTTCTCTCCCCCCCCCACCGCCACAGAATTACTGATTGCTGATTTTGGCAGCTTCCGATAACCGATAACCCACGCCCCTGCTTATTACCCACCCGACTCGAAACCTGCGTTTCTTTGTTTCTATCAAAAAAGAAAGAAGAAAGAAATGGATGTTGGCCAAAATAAACATTAAGTTTATTGTTTCTGTTCGGCACAACCCTCGAGCCGTTTCTTGCGTCGGCGGTAAGTGGAAGAAACCTCAATTGCTTGTAAACATTCCGTGAATTATTCGGACGATTATCTTCTTCTTTGTTGCTTTTATCATAGTATTTCAGCCAATATATTCTCTGCCCCCCCCCAACTGTGTCTGCTTAGTGAAGATTACATCAACTCTTCAGGAAAGTTCATTGTAAAACTGAATTTATATAAAATAAATAAATCTGCTTGACGTTCTTGTTGACTTCAAAGTGTAATAATTGTACTAATTCACTGTATTAAATAAAACAAAATAAGAATTCGCCTCTTGTTAATTAGGAAAGTTGCTGTTCTCATTGATATAATATAGCATTTTCAAAAGATAATTCCCATATATATATATATATATATATGTTTGGATCCAACCAAATATGTTAGCTCTATCTCTGATATTGAGCGCTTTCTAATAAGTACCGCGCATATAATATATAAATAATTATGCATATATATTTATTTATATTTATATACACTTTTTATATATATATATATATATATATATATATATATATATATATATATATATATATATATAACTTATAACTTTTATTATAAAAAGAACAAACGTTTATAGACAATAATTTTCCTAATGATGTCGTCGATGAACAAATAAAATGTCTTTGTCTGAGGCGCTAACCATTACACATGCTGGGAGCGTGCAGACACACACACACACACATATGTATATAGCACTCGGCGCTCGGGGATTTATCGTTCCGACTCTGCACACACATCCATGCATTTTTTTAAATCATTTCACCCCACGCAAAGTGATAATGCCACCAAGACGCAAGATGGCTACTGAGAATGAAAGAGATTGAAAATACTTTAGAAGTAACCGGAAGCCCAATCCTAAACAGGAAACAAGTGATGAACCTCTACTCCTGTTCAAAAGACCTGGGAGGAGTGTGAACGTGGTTGTTAACCATCGCGCTACGGGAGTCGCTCATTTATTCACTTAACACAGCCTTTTCTGTCACAAAGCCAGAGTAGTGGTTTTTGAAGATTGACTTCACACATCTAAGGGCATAGTCATTTATTTTTTATCATTTCAGTGGGGGAGGGGTCTACAGAGAGTGAAAGAGAATGAAAAGACTTTAGAAGGAACTGGAAACCTAATCCTAAACAGAAAACAAAGGATAAACCACTATTCTTGTTCAAAAGACTGGGGAGGCGTGTCAACCGGGCGATATTTCATTTTACATATTATTATTATTATTAAAACTGATCTTATCAGTAGTAGTTGTAATAGTAACATTGTCGTCGGCGCTGTTCTTATTTATTTATTTTGGCTAATATTTCCAAAGCATCTGCTTTTGTTTCGACTTCTACACAATTGCCAGATGCTTTCCTCTTTTTAAATAAAACATATTTATAAATTCTGAAGAAATAGGCAACACTCAATCGTATTAACTATGAGCTCAGCCATAATGTGCTGACTGTATTCGGAAAGTTAAACATTCCTATAACTCTAGATACATACACACAACCCATACATCCAGTTAAAAAGCAAAACTAAAATCATCCTTGATAATGGCTAAAACTATAGCCGAAAGCGCTCGCAATTATAGGACATTTGGACAGTTTCTACACATTCTGTGTCCAGAAAAGAAAACACTTGTTCGAACACAAAAAAATAAATAAAAAGCTTAATCGCAATACCTTATATACCTGTATAAATGAGGGAATACTGTCTAGATGCACAACATATATATATATATATATATATATATATATATATATATATATATATATATATATATATATATATATATATATTATTTTAAATAAAAACAGACCACTTTAAGGTTCCATGTAATAAATTATTTCACCACAGCCCTTTTAAAGGACTGCGGATCATCAGACTTTACTCCCAAACAAAAATGAAAAGAAAAATTTACACATTTTTGACGGGCCGTATTAAACATATGTAAATTAACGAAGTGAAGAAGTGAGTGGGAGAGAGAAGACATGAGTGAGTTAGCAGATATTGACACATTTAAACGGTTAACTTAACGGAAGTTATAGATTGATATCGAAGGGGTAGAGGAAAAAAAACCTTAGAAAGGAAAAGAGAGAAGGAAGTCATGAGAGAAAGTGTCACCAATTTTCTTTGTAAAAAAAAAGCTAGAAACAGACGCTGTTATTTTGTTTTTTTTTGTTATAAATATATATATATATATATATATATATATATATATATATATATATATATATATATAAATATCAACTATGGAATCTCTACAAATATCCTTAAATGTCTATAATTGGTAACAGAAGCCATTGGTTTATACCAACGGCTTCCCATACTTAATGCTTCTCGAATTCACAATCGCGTGGTCATGTGTGACGCCCTGAGCTGCGGTGCGATTTTCGCTTCTATCGTCTTATATGCACGTGTTTATCGTTGCTAGGAAAACATCTATGTAAACAATCACAGACTATCATCACTGTCTTGTCCGTATATTGCATAATATGTTGTACAGTAATTGACATTTTTGATAATGGCTTATGTGAGCCGAAAGCTTAGATTGGATTAAAATATATGGATCAATATTGTGTTTTTCTTTCTTCGTTTAATGGTAATGTTATTAAGCTTATCAGACGTTATGAAAAGAATTTGCATTAAATAAATCGACAACACTTATTATTTAATATATATATATATATATATATATATATATATATATATATATATATATTATGAGAACGAAAAGAATATAAATTCAAACGTTCACACCATTAATTCAAAAGAGGACTTGATATCAAGAGTAGAGCAATAATTATTTATTATAAATGGTTACACACAGAGAAAACAATTACTCACGACAGAGATGCATTTTTGTTACGATGCGGAAGCATCTCGACGGGTGAGGAACAATGTTCTTCACCCGACGAGATTCTTCATCGAAACAAAAATGCATCTCTGTCGTGAGTAATTGTTTTCTGTATGTATAACCATTTATATATATATATATATATATATATATATATATATATATATATATATATTGAAGGAAATGCATATGACTAAGTGGGAAAGGTTTTCGTGTGACACGTTTCTTCCTTTAGGGGTTCAGTGGAATAGCTTTCTTTACGTTGATGAGTCTAAACATGCGTAACAATAGGAAACACTGGGAATTTTAAATAATAAATAATTTCTCTATGTGTTTTGGGTCTATAATCGAGCTAATTTTATTTAGATTCTTTTTCTTTTTGTTTCCATCATCTTTGTTATTACATATCCCACATTGAGATTATATGAACACAAAAGGGACATTTTAAAAAAATAACACATTAAAGTCATTAGTTGCACGTAACGAGACTGACCACAATTTTGACATAAAAAGCTACTCTAATGAATAGAGAAAACAATTCACTAAAACGAAAATGTCTAGAAAGTGCTTCAATCGCTCGTTCATCCACAGTAAATTTGCTTCCAGGTTCTTACAAACATTTCACCATTCTTGGTAGATTTTCTGTTATCACAAGATGGGATATTTAATAACAAGGATGACAGAAACAAAAAGACAAAGAATCTACATGAAATTGGTTATATTATATACCCAAAACACATTAAAAAAATTCAAAAATTTAAAATGCCCAGCATCTCCCGTTCATGCGCATGTATAGACACTGAACAAAGACAAACCTAGTCGCGATGAAATTGTAAGGGTCGCTTAGTGACACGTTAAACGTCTTTCTTCCAAAATTGATCTTGATATATTATAATTTATATATCGTTATCACACACACACACACACACACACACACACATACATATATATATATATATATATATATATATATATATATATATATATACGTTAAGTGTTGTGCTGATTAAAAGATTTGTTATGGCGAAAGTGTGGATAATTTTTGACTTACCCACGTATATATATATATATATATATATATATATATATATATATATATATATATATATATATATATATGTAGAGAGAGAGAGAGAGAGAGAGAGAGAGAAACAATAGTTAATAGATAAATAAAAGTTCAAAAGACCTATCTTGCAACGTCAAATATAAATCTTTCGAAATTATATATAGCATCAATCAGCTAAGTGACAAACCTTTTACTTGTATTAATTCTCTCTCTTCCTCTCTTTCTATATATATGTGTATGTATGTATGTGTGAGTGTTTGTTAGTTTTTTGAACTCTGTATGTATATATATATATATATATATTTATATATGTGTGTGTGTGCGTCTGTTCCTTGATCATATGAACATTGATTTTAGTACGGAAGTTATATATTGATATCGAAGGGGTAGAGGAAAAAAACCGTTAGAAAGAAAAAGAGAGAAGGAAATCATGAAAGAAGGTGTCACTAATTTTCTTTTAAAAAAAAGCTAGAAATAGACGCTGTTATTTTGTTTTACTTTGAAAGTGTTATATATATATATATATATATATATATATATATATATATATATATATATATATATATATATATATATTTCTAAAGAAGTAATGTTTTTTTTTATTTATTAACCCGACATATTTTATCATTTTGAAAGTAAATATTTTGTTTATAGC